TTTTTTTTCAAATTTAAATAAAAAATTAAATAAATTTAATAAAATTCTTAGAAATGAATTAACAATTATTCCAATGATGAGATTTTTAAAAATTTTAAATGATAAATTTTTTAAGAAATCTCTAGGTGAGGAATTTTTTTAAATTTAACTAAAATGGTGAAATAATTTAAATGAAATTTTAATGAAAGTAATTGTATTTCTTTCTATATTAAAAATTAAAAATATGACTTTAAAACATTTTGGTGTGAAAATATATGATGATTATCCAAATATGAAATATTAAGAAAAATCACAAATGGTTGAATTTCATAAGATTTTTAAGTAAAAATTTTTTTCTAAATTCCACCCAAATAATGGAATGAGTTAGATGAGACTTCAAAAAATAATTGTATGTTATTTTTCTTTTTTAAAGGATAAATAATGAATAAATGAAGACTAAATTTTATGAAAGACATTTCTAAATTTGACCCTAACGGTGGAAAATTTATAAATGAAACCTATTAGATATTTCTAAATTAGACCTAAATGGTAGAAAATTTAGAAATAAAACTTGTAAAATAAAAAAATAAATTTCAAAGATAAAATTCTTAGTAATAGCAAATTGGTGATTATCTAAGAAATTTCTAGTTATGAAAATATTTTTAATTCTGGCCCAAATGATGAAAGAATTTGGTGTATTTTCAATAAAATAAAAATTAAAAAAAAATGATTAAGTTTTTTCGACGATGGAGCATCTTCAAGAAAATAAATAAGATTATTGAATACTCTCAAGGTAATGAAGTATTTTTAATTTTGTCAGATTGATGAAAAATTTAAAAAAATATTTTCAATATTAGATTTAAGACCATTAGAACTATAAACTTTTAGGATAATTTAAAATTAAATAGTACCATCTTTTAGGATGGGCATTGTAGATGTGTTACAACATTCCCTGCAAATAACCGAACTACCAAACTTAATTCTATTCAGAAGGTCAAAACTTATTTTTTAAGGATCTTTAATCAAGTTCGGAATCTCCTTAAAAGAATAGATTCACAATATCACCAATCACACTTTAAAAAAATATTGATGACGATTCTTTAAGTTGTATCTAGCTATATATTTATAGATCTATATGTTATGATAAATACATCAAATGGATGAGGTCCCTCACATGGTTTTTTAGGGTTTTTTTTTTTCACTTAAATATCCTGATATTAGTTGATGATTTTTGCTTCAAACTTTGTTAGGTGGCAAGTCATGCACAAACAAATATTCCTTTCTTAAAGATTATCGTGGACACCCTTTATAAGGTATTTTACTTCTATGTGCATTCTCTAAATTTAAATTGCGATCATGTTTGCATTTTATATTGCTTTGCATTTATTGCAATTATGATTATAACGGATAAAATAGTAGTAATTACTATTTTATGTTATTTTATGATAGCAGTAATTAAAGTATAAAATTTATTTTATGATATTTAAAATAATTTTTATAGTTTAATTCTTTCATTTATATGTTAAAATAAAATTTTTAGTTATGATTCTTAAATCAATTAAAGTATCTAACATGTTGTTCATTAATATATTAATGAATTTAATAAACATAAATGCTATAAATACATATTTAATCTAATTAAGAAGAGTAATGATGAAAATTTAAATCTTTCATAAAATAGATTATTGGGATAAAGGGATTAAACTCTAATTCCTTGAGTACAATTTCTAGTATTTTATCATTAAATCAAAGTGCAACATTTTAAATAATTAATTAACTAAAATAATGTAATAGTTAATAACATAAGCATAGTCAAACTCAAAAAATTCAATAAATAATAACATTAATAATATCATTATTTCAAAATTATATAATAAAATTAATTCTAAATTAAATGATTGTGCTTCATTAAATTGTAAAAAATTAAATTCATGAATTAGGAGCTAACATCCCTCTTAAATCTTCATTTAAAACACTAAATTTTTTTCTCAAATAGTCCATTTCCCACCCATATTTTATCTTTCCTAAAAAAATTTCACCCAAACAAAAAGAAACAAAACCAATTTTGAGTTGTAACGGCTATGTGGCATGAGCCTCACGTGCTCCATAAATCTTTAATCCCTTTCACTTCGCTCTTCCTTCCATTACCTTCAATGCCAAATTCTCTTCAAATTCTATAATTAAACCCATTTTCTTCTCCTCGTCTCTTCCTGTTCGAAAATCAACTCGCAGGTCTTCAGCCTTCCACATTGCCCTCTGTTTCTCATCCCTCCTCTGTCTCCACTTTCCTTTTCCATCTCGCAACAGGGCCACCATGACCCAACACAACCAACAACCCTCATATCTTGCCAAAATTGTCACGTCCTCTCCCAAAAGAAGTCTTATCTGTCTATCCTTGTCAAGAATCAAAATTGGAGAAGATAACGCAGAGCATACACCTTGAAGCCAAGGGGGATGAAGGCAATATGAGAGCTCTCACTCTAAATTATCCAGAACTGAGATTTGAAAAAATGGGTATTTGTTTCTTGCCATGAATGAATTCCGTTTTTATTTTGATTGAGACTTAAATTTGTTGGATTTTGACTTAATTGATTGAAGTGGATTTTTTTCTCTGGTTTCATTCGGTTTATTATTTGATTTGATTAAAAAAAATACGTCCCGTTACGCTGGTATTTGCGTTCACAAAGCGCTGTAGTGATTGTGAATGCCATTCACACCCCTATTGCAGGTGAATAGCGGTGGTGGAAGGCGTCGCTACCGCTAAATAGCCGACGCTACACCGCAACGCGGGCGTTACTTATATTCTCAAGCATTTGAACTGCAATTAGGCAGAAAATAATGTGCTTTGCCTCTTATAGACTTGAGACAATCATGCAAGCTAGAATAATACTTGCTTTAAGATAGGGAGGGTGTTTAGCAAGTAAAAACAAATTCAGAATAAGGCTGGACTTAGTGTTAGAATGACCAGCAAGAGTGTTTAGCAGAATGGATCCCTGATTTTCGTTTGGTTTTTGCTTGATTCGATATTCCCAAGCTGTTAAATTAGTTGATTGAGCTGTCTCTAAAGGTGATTTTTGTAAGGTAGGACAATACTGAATAATTCTAGGAGTACGAGAATGTGTCTCATTGCTCAAAACCGGTAGTCAGATGAGTGTTCTTGTTGCAGGAGGGATATGCTGCAAGTAGATAACACATTGCCTCCAATCCAATCAAGACCGACTGGTCTATGGTAGAACGCATCATGATTGCCAAGGAATTACAGATGCTGAAATTTTCAAGTTTTGAAGGCGTTAACCTTAAGTCTCTAACAGCTCCTGAACTGTAAGCCGCACCTAGCTCCTTTACTAGCAGTTCACAAGTATGATCGTGGATGCTCATTTTAAAGAAGAAAAGCACATTGCAATTCAGCCTTGAACCTCGGAAGCTTTTGACGAGACATTTCTAATTGGAAGGCTTAAGTTGTTCAAGCTTGTTTTAATTTGGATCAGATTTTGCGACTCTTACTTTGTTAGAGGTGGGAATCAAGTAGGTAAAAGGAAAAACTGATTTCTAATCATTTTACAGTGGGAATAATTGAATCGAAATTGTCGAATTGAAGTTAACTTGAATAAGTTTGTGTTAGACACTTTGTTCACATCTAATCAGCTTTTGCACGCCGTATGTGCTGCTTTTCGAAAGTGAAACACTTTTGAATTTAACCAATGGACTCCGGTCTACTGTTCCAATAATGGTCGAAGCTAAGCTATTTTCAGTTATCAACCTCGCATATTCCGACACTAAAGTTGTGAATATTAGAAATTTCGAATTCATAATTGTATAACGATTAGTCCTCTTTGATACTTTAATTTAGGAGTGAGGAAAAAAAATCAAAAAATTAAAAATTGATTTAAAATTTTAATATTTAATTTGATTTGATTTTTTTTTTTTTCGGTTTGAATCAAAATCGGATATTGAATATATATATTAAATTAAGATCAAATTTCGAAGTGAATGTGAAAAATTAAAAAAAAAATCGATTTGAATCGAATTATATATTTTTATTAGTTTAATTTTTTTTAAATTTTTATAAAATAAAAATAATTAATACATATATAAATCTATTTAAATATCTTAAAATTTTATTAAAATAATATATAAAAAAATAAATTTTAAAAATCAATAAATTAAATTGAATTGGCAAAATTCAATTTAAATCAAATCAATTAAAAAATTTGAATCAAATTTTAAAAAATATAATATTATATATTATTTAAAAATAATTAAATCAAATTTAATTCTATTCAAACAATTATCATTTTTTTTTCAACATAACATGTTATTGATAAACCCGTTAACTACTAAAAACAAACTTCACAACTCATGCACCTCGATCAAGCTTTTCACTTTAGAATGTTATTTAATACAAAAAATTATCAATTTATATTAGTGTAAAATTTTTTAATTTTATATTTTTTTATTCATTAATTTTAATAGATTTAAAAATAAAAAAAACAAATAAAAAATAATTTAATCTTATCTTTTAAATCATTTAAATCAATGATTAAAATTTTTTGATTAAATCAATGATTAGAAAAATATATATAATTAAAAAATTTTACATTGATGTAGATTATCCTCTCTCTCTCTCTCTCTCTCTCTCTCTCTCTCTCTCTATATATATATATATATATATATATATATATACATACATACATATGAAGAGATATCCACTTGTACTAATATAAATGTTAACATATATTTTTTACTATTAGATCAAAATAACTAAATAAAAATATTATAAATTTAATTTTGATCTAAGAGTAAAAAAAATACATAATACTTATATTAGTATAAATCTTTACTTTTCTCTCCATAGATATAGAAAGAGATTTACTTGCACTAATATTACTGGTATACATCTTTTAGATTAATAGATCAAAATTATAAAATTTAAAAATATTATTATGATTTAAATAAATTATGAATTTAATTTTAATTTAAAAGTCTAAAAAAATGTAACAGTTGCATCACTATAATTAATGTAAGTGAATCTTTACTTCTATATCAAAATATTTTCACACAAGGGACTGTGACCGACCCACACTTCATTGGAAAAACAGTTTTATGTAAAATAATAAGCAATGTCTCAAACCGCAAGTGATTTGGATAACCATAAGCAACTAAATATAAATTATGAGAATCCAACTAGTATTCTCCACCATTCATAGCTTCCAAATTAACAAAAAAGTGTCAAATGCCTATTAAACTTTAACCAATCAAAGCCTTCATGCAGCCATTTTAAAGCAAAATCAAAAAATAGAAATTCATCTTAAACTTCAAGGGCCTTAAGCACGAGGAGGATTGGCAACACCTGGACGTGCAGCTTGACCTGGTTGACCAGGCTTTGGCATATCATCCTGAAAGAATTAATGAAGCTTCTGTACGTGAGAAAAAATTTAAGAAAAATGAATACAAAACCATAAACACAGAAGAGGCAATGACTATCACAGATGCTAACCTCTCAGAAACCTAAGCCGATAGAACAATAACAACTATTTCTGTTTGATTCATGAATTCATTGCTACAACATAAAGAGAAAAAAAAAAATGCAATTGCACGTATATTCCCACAGTCACAATCTGAAAAGTAGGAGTCTCTAAGTTTCAGGTGTAGCTAAATTTTAATATCTCTCTGGATGACCTCCATATATCACTTATAGTTCTAAGGCATTTTACATCCCATGATGATCAATAAGCCACCAAAAAAGGCCACTGAAAAAGTGATTTAGATGGATAATGAGTATGAGGGTTTGTTCATCCCTAAAGCACTAAAAAATTCTGCAGAAGGGGCGGACACGTCCCTAAAGAATTGCATCCTACATAACATTGTAGAGAGAATCATTCTAATGACAGTCATGAATCACAATCAGCAAAATGCTGCCAAAATTCTACTAATCTTATGGATGACTTCCATGTATCAGTTATACTAGATTCAAAGCATTTTCTATCCCATAATGATCAATAGGCCACAATAAAAGGCAGAAGAAAAAGTGATTCAGATAGCTATTGGGTATTTGGGATTAGTTCATGCTTAGGGGGGCATATGTGCAGTCTCTTCAGAATTGCCAAAATACCCTTCTATCATTCTACATAATATAGTAAGAAAAGAACAACTCTAATGACGGTCAGGTCACAAAATTGACAAAGGTGTTCAATACCTCAAATTCCATTCACAACCCTACAATAGGTGATAACAAAAACATGATATACAAGAAAATGATAATAAAGCCATAATAAACAGAGACGTTTTCAAAACTTTTATCATAATAAAACCATGATATAAAAGAAAATGATAAACAATCAAAGCAAGGCAAGAAGAATCACACTTCATTCACATCACAATATAGATCATTGAAATACTTCTTAGCAACACATGAGAAGCATCAAATCAAGCATTATAAAAAAAAGTACCCTGCGTCTGATGAAGCGCTGGGGTGGGTCACGCTTCCTCCTGTCAGTGCGGGATCGGACCCTCACAACGTGCGAGTGGATCGCGCATGAAACACAGTATTGCATTTTCACGTAGAGCTTAGGCAGAGTGTATGCTAAACATCATTAACCAAACAATAAATCCAAATATAAGCACTAGAACGAGAAAGTTCGTATATAACTGAGAAATTAAATGAAAATTACTGTCATAGACGCAGGCTTCCTGGACATCCCTTACAGCGGCTTGCTCCACAATGTTCCTCACAAGAAACCTCTTGATTGACTTATCCTATTATATCCCAAACAAAGAAAAACCAAATGAAAAAAGAAAAAATCCTTCAACATAAATTAAAAACAAAGAAAAAAACCCCTAGACCCAGTCAGAAAAACAGATGAAAACTACCTTGGGACAGCATTTGCCACAGTTAGAGCAGCGAATGAACTTGACATGGCCACGGCCATGCTTGTTGCGGCCACCATTCCTACGCTTGAAAGTCTACAAAACGATAAAGATCCATTCAGAGTGATCAAATTTGTGAAAAAGATTAAGTTTTGATAAGGAGCCATATGCAATAAAGAGTTGAAACGAAGATCTGACCATGGTTTGGGAAAAAAGTGTGGATTTTGGAGGCTCTCTGCTTCTGCCGACTAATAACTAGGGTTTTCGCTTGTATGAGGAAGTGTAGGTTTTTGGATTAAAAAAAAGTGCTTTTATATTTGGGGGAATGTGTCTACTGAAACCCTAAATTTTCAATAGAAAGTTTTAAATACACCTTATAATTTTTTCAAATAAAATTACTTAAATACACTTATTACAAATTTTTAAATATTCGTCGTGTTCAAAAAATTATAACATTTGAAAATATATTTTTAAAAAATCATAACATTTTTTGAAAATATAGTTTTAAAAATGAAAAAGTGAAAATTAATGAAAACTTACAAAAAAAATTATTAAAATCATTTATAAATTAATATAATAGAAAGGTATGATTAAAAAATCATAAATTTTAAAATTAATAAAAATTACTTTTACTATTTTAATTTTAAAGAAAAATAAAACTTATAAGGTTTTAATTAAATATTTTATTTTTTATTGTTACCTAAGATGATAAAAAGATTATCAAATCTAATCAATATATAAAAGTTAAAATTCCTTAAAATTGTATAAGCAATATTACATAAATTTGTCAAAATGTTACAAAATCACTATTGTCATATCCTCGATCTCATATAAAATTGAGAACCCATAGAAAACATGTTGAAAGAATTAGAATTAATTCAAAATTGAATATTTTCTTGGCCAACATTACATGTTTATGAATAAAAAGATATTATAAATATTATTTTTTCTCTAAGATGAAAATAATAAAAGAATTTTTTTATTAATTTTAAAATTTATGATTTTTTAATAATATTTTTTTCATTACACTTATTTACAAATAATTTTAATAAAATTTTCTTTTTCATAATTTTTCATAAAATTTCAATTTCAACATTGAATTCTTGGAATTGCATTTTCGAGATGTATTATAATTTTAAAAAAATAGATTTTCGAAAATTATAAAATTTATAAGATAAGTATTTTAGTAATTTTATTTACAAATTTTAAAAAAAAAATGTAGTGTACAGAGCAAAAACGTAAATTGCATTTGAAACTTCACATTTTCGTTTACAATACTTTTTATGTTTTCAATTGTACCTCAAAATTTTGAATTATTTACGGTTTTATTTTTTGACCAAGAGTATTTCAGTTTAATTAGAATTAATTTTTGGAGCATACTTTTCATCAAAATCCAATTTCAAATAATGAGAAATTTTTCCTCAATTCTTTTAAATAAGATAGATGTGCTGTCTACGAGTTAAGTAATGTATAATCTCAAACTGCTCCTCTTTAGTTAAAAAAAAAAAAAAATCACACACAACACAGAATTAAATGCAAATTTTGAATTATTTTTAATTGATTCCATAGCAAAAATATATATTTATATAAAAATAAAAATTAAATTATTAAGTAAATTTTATCATTGACTTGTAATTTTTTCACTTTCAATTTTATCAAAGTGAAAGAGTAAAAAAAATTTAATAATAATTCAATAATTATCTAAATACATAATGTTGTATTGTAATTAATCATATCTTTAATTTTTTATTTTAGATAAATTGAACTCGAAAAATAAGCACTCTGATCATGTGACAGTGACTGCCGTTAAATTAATGAACATGTGGATTTATTTTAACACGTCTCATGTGAGGTGGCAAAAAAATTCCACTGTGGCACATGACGACTTTGGCAGGATTGTTCTCCCACATGGCATTATTTTATTGGTGCAAAATAAAAAAATAAATCACTAAAATTCATCTGCATCCCTCGAAAGTTAACATCAATTTAGAAAACAAAAAGCCCCAATTATCTGATGGAGAACCAAAATGTATCTCAAGCTGATTTAAAAAACCTAATAGCACTTGCTTAAATTCTGGCCAAATCTCTGAAGCAAAACTAATTGGAAAGAACCGATGAGGTGTTCGAATACATAGAGTCATATTTAATGTATAAAATTATTGATATAATAAAATAATAATCATCATATATTATATTTAATTTATATTTAAAAAATAAAATAAAAATTATAAAAAAATTAATATTCTTTTAGTAAAAAGTTATTTAATCTTTTTCAAATAAAAATAATTATTTTTAATTCATAAATTTAATTTATATATTTAATTATATTTTTAAAAATTATATTAATAATTTAAATTATATAAAATTTTAAAAAATAATTTTAATAAATAAATAAATTATCTTATTTTAATTTTTATATAATCAAATATAAAAAAATAATATTATTTAATTTAATATTATTTATAATACCATCATATTTTTCTCATTATAACTTGAGCATAATTCCATCACATTAACCTATCGAGGGACTTTCAAGAGGTCAAGAAATTGTAACTTATTGAACTGGAATTTAAAAGAGAGATGATCTATGGAAAAATGCTAATGAAATCCTTTCTAGACAGGATTTAAATTTAAGAATTCACATCATAAAAGGAACATGGCCACTTAGTAAAAAATCTAACACAGAAAAACAACCACCACAAGCCAAGAACATACAATCCAGTATCATCCGTCATGAAGTAACATAAAACACCCAAAAACCAAAAATTAAAAAAAAATGAAAAGAGAGAAAAAACGGTTTCGTTACGGTTTCAATTAGGCTTGCTCTATGAGATTTCGAGACTCGGTTTTCCAAGGAGAGGAAGGCTTTGGGGAGAAGAACAACATATTAAAAGATGGAGACTTTTGGCGAGACGATGGAGGGGTATTTTGGTTCTAGACGCCGCGACATTAAGCTTAGATCTAGGCAATTACGGGGTGCTTTTGAGAAATCCATCGAGGCAAGTGGAAAGAGGAGAAAGAGACGAATCTTTGACTGTACTTTGAACGAACCGGACACTGTTGCATGACCATCAGCGACAGAGGACAACGAAAAACCGTCAGTTTGTGGGTTTACGGAGGGTTGATGATTGTTTGGGGTTGAGAGAAAGAGAGAGTAATTTAGAGAGAAAAGAAAGGATATAATTATAAATGAAGAAGCGGAGTCAATTTCCAGTTTTTATTGTCTAATACGTGGTTCCGAAATTTTCATAAATTTAACATAAATATTTTTTCATTTTATTTTATTTTTTCTTTGCTCAAATAAACAAATGCCATGGTAAATTTTTTGCCATGTCACGTGACACAATTTAATGTCCAGATGTCAATTAAGTTAACAACAGTTTAGTTTCCATCCAAATTGGGATTTACTTAATTCAAAATAAAAAATAAAAAATTTAATTAATTGTAATAAAATGTTAAAAATTTTAATTATTATTGAATCATTGTTTGACGATTTTTTTTTACCTTTATGTCTTTTAACAACTATTTAAAATTTTTATTTTTATCCACAATTTTAAGTTATTTTAAAAATCAATCATCTATCATAAAATCTTAACAAAATTTATCTCATATATATATATATATATATATATACATATATATATATATAGGGATGATAACAGATCAAATCGGGATGAATTTGTACTCACTTCGAATTCGACTAAACTTTATATATATAAAATTCGAATTCAATAATTTTTTTAATTTTTTTCACACTCAAATCCGACCTTAATCGATATTATATAAAATCATATTCAATCAAACTCAATCCGAAATTAATAAAATTTTATTTTTTTAATATAAAATATTATTTTTTAATATAAATATAAAATTAATTAATTAAAAAATAATTTTTTATAATTATCGGATCAGATTTACTTAAAACTCGATCCTGACTTAACTTCGATTTTTTTTTTACTATTACCTGACTTGACTCGACCTGATATCCAATTTTTTAAAAAAAAAAAAATTAACTTTAAAAGATTGGATTGAATCGAAATTCATCGGATTCAAATTTGACTACCTTTTTCTACGTATGTCTACCAAAGCATCATGTGACTAAATTTTTGTCCAATCTATTATCTATCCAATTTTTAAAGAAATATTAATTAATATATGAATTTAAAATAAATTCAAAATACATCATATGAAAATAACATAATACAAAAATGTTAATGATTAGTGAAATAATTTACTATAAATTATTGTTTTATATCCTATTTGGATTTCGATGAATCTAAAGATATCAATTTTATTTATACCCAATGAAAGAAAGATTTTTTATCCAAATAAAAATATGGGTATTATATTTTGACAGTAAGAATAGATATGATTTTAAATTTTTTATCAGATATAAAAATTTTTCATATCCATTATATACATATAAAAATAAAAATAAATTTAATATATTTATAAAAATATAGATACGATGATAGATATAATATAAAAATTTAAAAATAAAAATAAAAGAATATTCTAATCGTCCCATAGCTTATCCATTAATATTCTTAATTGAACCTTCAGTTCAGTGCGTTTCAGCTCCATTTTTAAAGTAATCTCACCATAATCAATGTTTGGGTAACATGAAAATGGTGCGATTGAATCATTTAACTGCATCGAAGAACTTAAAAACTTAATGGAGAGAAAAGGATCCAGTGTACTACATGGCCCTAATTTGAACACTTTTATCCTTTTCATTAGTGTTTCTTAAAATACCTTTAATTTTAAAACCCTATCATTAGTTTATTTACATGACATCCATTCAATTATTTGTAACAAAAGTATTACTATAAAAATAATTTTAATAGTTTTAAATTATTTTTTATCATCATAAATATTAAATAAATTTATTATATTTAAAATTTAATCTAATGTCTTTAATAACATTTTCTTTTTTCACTACACTTAATCTCACCACTATCATTATTTTTTATCTAAATACATGTCACACCACTTATTTTCATCTCTTCACTACATTAACTAATCTTACTTCTACCGTCATTTTAATTTTATCAAAAATAATCTCACCCCTAATCCAAATGAACCCTAAAAAAATTGATTACTGTCACTAATTTACATATATGATCTACACTAACATATACGCATGTGTCACTAGTTGAGACTCACACACAACTCACATGGGCTTGGACTCGGACGGGAATCATGAAACATGCATACACATTAATACATACATATAATAAGTGTGAATTAAGTAAAACAAGCATAGTTAGTAATGAAGAGTAAATTATCAAATGTGTGCACTCTTTCTTTCTTTGTTTTTCAAACCATTAATGGCAAGAATGAAACAAAAAAACAATAAATAAGATT